TCTTTCTTTTTCTTTTCTTTTTCTTTTTTTTTTTTTTTTTGAGAGAAAATAAGGGTGGGGAGGAGAGAGAAAAAGAGTGCGGGCTGAGTGCACAAATGAGGAGCACAGGGGGAAGTGTAGAGAGAATCTCAGGCAGGCTCTATACCCAGTGCAGAGCCCAATGATGACCTGGGGCTCAGGCTCATGACCTGAACCAAAATCAAGAGTCAGAAGCTTAACCCACTGGTACCCCCAAGGTATCCCTGGGCCTTTTTTTTTTTAATTTACACTCTGTTCTTAGGTGGCCCCAAAGCCACAAATATCATCTATATGCTAATGTTGTCAAAGTCTATATCTCCATCCCAGACCCCTCTCTTGAGGTTCAGAGTCAGATATCCAACTGCCTGCTCAATGTCTAACAAGTATGTCTAAAATGGGATGACTGATGGCTCCCAATCTTGCTCCCTACAGCTTGCCCCATCTCAGCCTCAAGCAAGCAGACAAGGCTCAGCCAGACCAAGGCCATATAGATTGGCTCAGTAAAGATACAATGAGCCACTTTTAAGTTCAGACAGTTTATTACTTACATAGATGGCAAAACTAAATTTTCCCATGGTTCTTGTCCTGAGGATCAAAAAGGATAAGCCAAAAAAAGAAAGAAAAAAAAAAGGAAGTCTATATTCTAGACTAATAGACAAAGCAGTTCTAGTCTGTAGCTTTTCTGGGTGGGGGAGCAAGAAAGTTTTACACCTCATCAAAACTTGGGAGACCATGGAAACTGGCTCATGATGTCCTCCTAAGGGAAGAAGAGAGGCAAGCAGGAGATGGCCCCAGAGAAGCTCCTCAAAGGGGTCCCATAATCTCTGTTCTGGAAAGATCACAAGCGTTCTGCCAAAACTCAGAAAAGCTGTGGTTCAAGTCTTTGCCTGTATGGCCTATGTGGCTGTGCCAGATGGTCAAGGTACCATTGTGGAGATGTTCTCCCACATCAGTCAATGGCAACAGTACCCTGTATGATCTGTGCACTTGTGGCATATTGCCCTATTCTCCTACCCTTACTTCTCTCAGCTCATCTCCTCTTTGACTCCTCATTCTTTTTGTTCTAGCCATACTGGCCTCCTTTCTGTTCCTTAGACACTTCCACTTAAGGCCATCACTTTGGCTGTTCCCTTTAACTGGACTATTCTTCCCCCAGATATCTGCAAGGCTCAATTTCAGGTCTCTATATTCAACTTCACAAATCTTTAGCATGTTTATTCTCCCTAATATTCTGGCTTTGTTTTCAAGAGAATGAAGGTAGCAAGGTCTCCTTAATCTCCCATGCCCCATATGACACCCAGGATCATGGCTCCTCTCTTCCAATATAATCTCCCAGACTCATCTCTTCAAATCTTTCTGCCACCTACACAGACAAGTTACCTCTGTCTGAACCTCTTCAATTTGCATGGCCCACCACATTCAAAGGAACTGGCCACACAGGATCTACCTTCTGAGAAGGTTCTGGGAAGTACATATGAAAAATATTGTTTTTCCATTACACTTATTGCTGACAAAATTTCCACCTGAATGCCACTCTCAACAATCTGGTTAAGCCTTTAGGCTCCAAGGCCGGATTAAGGGGGTTAAAAATCATATCTCAGTAAGTGACTTTTTGACCTTAATTGATCAAGTTATTTCTGAGCTCCTTGTTTTCATCTGGAAAATATGGTAATAATAGCACTTAACTTCTTGGAGTCATTGTGATGATTAAATGACATAATAGATGTCACAGTGCAGGTAGTAAATATTCAATCAACATTAGCTATAATTATATTATAATTATATTACTGGGTTAACCAATGATACGACTAGCACAATCCCAATGATACATAAAGGGTGTATTGGCCTCAAAGTTGCCTGTTGCTTACTCAAAAGCATTCTCTAGACTGTTCCACATCCTCCCTCAGTTACCAAGAAGTAAGCCAAACTTCAAGCAGGTCAGAGAAACAGTCATATTATAGGCTTTGTGGGAGTTTGGGGTATTCCTCCCAAGATCACACTAAGGATGTGGTTGGCCAGGGGTCATTTTCAGGGCAGAGGCAGTTATGCACTGCCACCACACCTAAAATACTTCTTCCTGTTTCCATGCTTGAAAGAAGAAGTGGCTCAGGGCCTGACCTCAGTGGAACAGAGGAGAAAATTACTAAATCCTGGAATAAAACAAAAAAACCACACTTCCTTCACGTGAGAAGAACTACAAACTCTTTTATCTGATATTTTTGCTTCTAGAGGAGAGGGGTAAACAAATGTAAAAGGGCAACAATTTCTCCCCAACTCCACAGGACAGATTATTTCTGGGGAGTAGGTCAGATATTTCCTAAGATATATGACTCTGTTCGATCACTGAGAGGTTGGGCCAAGCCTACGAAGCCACAGTGATTGTATTTTTTTTCCTCCTGATTCTATACAAACAGTATTTCATACAGCAGCTTTTCTGCACTCACTCTCAGTACAGATACAATTTACAAATTTGTCATGATAGGGTACGTTTATATTTATGGTTTTGTCATATAACATTTTGGCACAAATATTTCATGCAGCTTTACAGAATTGATCATTTTAAAATGATCAATTTTAAAATGGGTATAAAGTATAAAGTATTCCACTAAGTTGAGACATTTTAGTGATTTTATTTTAGGGAATGCTCATTAAAAAATTTTCTACATACAACTTTTGCTTCTTTGGAATTTTTTTCCAGATATAATTTTTAGGATGAAATGACCGGGGCAAATTAAATGCACATTTTGGGACCCTTTATACTCACTGCCAAATGACTCCAAATGGGTTGTACCACATGCATTCCACTATGAAGCCAACATTTTACAGTGCTTTCTAGTTTCAAGCCATTTTGTAAATTTTATCTCAACTACTCTGGCAAATTGACCTAAATTCCACCTCCTGGGGCCGATACTTTAGTACGTTAACTCCAGTTCCCTCTCCTGTGCCTCTCTCCACAGGAGAGACTGGAAAAGCTGCCTGCAACTTACCTTACAGCCAGGAGTGGCCATATGATCCCATTCTGACCAATGAGATGTAAGGGGAACCTTGATGGGCAAAGGGGCTGATATTTCCCCTCCCAAAACTCCCTGCCTAGAACGTGGAAGTGATGATTGGAGCAAACTAAGTTGTAAAGGCATAGAGAGGTAACAGGAAAGAAATGAAGTGTATTCACAGAGAGGAGCAAAGATACCATGAGGGAGCCAGACAGCCTCTGAGAGAGATGGTTCTGTGGGTGTTTTCCACTTTTAGTTCAGCCTTTACATATCCTCTTACCTTATCCCCATGTATCTTCACACCAAGCCCTTATTATAGAAATTTAGGCAGGTGTCGGGGCACCTGGGTGGCTTAGTCGGTTAAGCGGCCGACTTTCGCTTAGGTCATGATCTCGCGGTTCGTGGGTTCGAGCCCCGCGTCGGGCTCTGTGCTGACTGCCAGCTCAGAGCCTGGAGCCTGTTTCAGTCTGTGACTCCCTCTCTCTCTGACCCTCCCCTGCTCACGCTGTCTCTCTCTCTCTCCTAGAAATAAATAAAACATTAAAAAAAAAAAAAAAGAAATTTAGGCAGGTGTCTATTCCTTATAGACAGTGAAACTCACATGTATTACAGCTGTTCTTATAATTTATATTCCACATTGGTGGACTCAAAGAATTGAGGCAATTAGGACTTTGTTCCTTCTGTGCCACAAGAGGAGAGGAAGGTGTTCATATACCAGAGGCCCGTTGATTGTTGTCTAAACCACTTGTATCCTGCAAAGCATTGCAGGATGAAGCAAACTGTAGAGATGATTTCAATTTTTTTTTGTTCGTTGTCAAAGTATGACCCCAGTTTCTGGCTAAATAACTTCAAGGATCAATAGAGAAAAGGGCTACCAGCAGATCCATTTTTATACCCTATGTGAAGCAGCATCATTCAGTAGAAACCCATCTGAGCACACAACTGTTCTGTGGAGATTCAAACATAAATATACGTGGTCTGAGTTAGCCTCTGGAAGCCACCCAGCATCATGGTTAAGAGCACAGCGGTTGACTTGGGTTCAATCACCAGCTCCGTTTTCTACTAGCTATGTGACTTTGGGCAAGTTAACTTATCTCTATGATCCTCATTTTCCTAATAATTATTAAAACTTTAAAAATAAAAGCTAATTATTTTATTAGCAAATATAGGTTTATTCAAGATACCAGAGAATTGCAATTTGGGATATGGAAGCTATGGCAAAACCACAGGCAAGTCTAACAAACAAAGGAGAGGAATGTTATTGTATAGAAAAGAATGAAGAAGATGGGAGGGATTATGTTAAACAAAAATCCACTGGAGAAAAGTTCACAGTTTCTCATCAGCTGAATTGCAAGGGTGATCAATTTCCTGTAGGTGAGGCAGTTCACATTTTTCTCTGTTAGGGCCTATAATTTAATATTCTTTCCTGTTGAAGAGTCTTCTGTTGGGGTCTGTAATTAACAGTTCTTCCTTGAGGTTGAATGGTACAGCTCCCTCTTCTAGACTCCCAATTCTAGCTTCCTGGGTTTCTCTGCTTTACTGAGATTTACTTTTATTAATTTTCACATAATTGGAAATCATATTACTTACTCATAGTGGGCATTTGTTGTTTTAGGCCACTCAGTACCCATTCTTCCCTTCTTTTGTTAATAGCAGCCAGTTTCCTTTTGACGAGTTAACTCTCCACCATTGTATACATTTCTTGGTAAGCCCATGTATGTTACTTATGTGACTTACCCTCCCTTAACTAAATGAGTAGCCTCTTAACCAAAGTAAGACCAAATGGACTCTCTATTTTTTTTTTTTTTTTCAATCAAAACCCCTCACGTTTATTACTGAACCAACCTACTGGTTCAGGAGCAACGTAACAGAGAAGTTATTTCCTTGATAAGTTATTGGTATGGGGCATGTGACGGGCAGGTGTCGCATCAGGAACACAGGATTCAAGCGGCATGATAAACGGGGAAACGCGTGCCATTGCCATCTCACGTAGGATCACTCACAGACCCAGCTTTGTTCTTCTCCAGTGTCGCCTCTTGGAGTTGTACCTGATTTTGTTACCAGTTTTCATCCGAATCCACTGGGGAATGGGACGATTCTGCTTTTGTTTCTTGGCCAGGAATCGCTTGATCCTGAAAGTCTTATGAGAAGACATGGCGAGAGAGAGCCAGCAACCTCTATTTTTATTTTTTATTGCTTATTTATTTTGAAGGGTTTTCTGAGGGGGGGCACAAGTGAGCAAGGGGCAGAGAGAGAGAAGTGAGGCTCACCTGGGGCTCGAGCTCACCCAAAGCAGGGGCTCACCTGGGTGGCTCACTGGATGTGGGACTTGAACCAAGAACTGTGAGATCATAACCAGAGCTGAAATCAGATGCTTAACAACTGAGCCATCCAGGTGCCCCTATTTATTTATTCCAAAAGAGAGAGAGAGTGAGAGCATGCTTAAGCAGGGTAGGGACAGAGAGAGAAGTAGAGAGAGAGAAACCCAAGCAGGCTCTCCAACTCGGGGCTTGAACCATGAGATCATGACTTGAGCTGAAAGCAAGAGGTGAATACTTAACCAGCTGAGCCACCCAGGCACCCTGGACTCTCTACTTTTAATTTGAATTTTGAGGACACTGATGCAAAGGCAGAAAATTAATTTTTGGTTTCTTTCTATCCTGGTAGGACTGCCAAAACAATGGTTCTTGTCTTCTCTGAGTCTGCTTCCCTTTCATCCTATGAGCCACCAGTACTTACATTTTTACTTGTTAGCCAGAGTCTGTTTCTGTTGATTTTTCCCAATAGGTCCTAACTGATGCACTAGTTAATAACTACAACAACAAAAACAAAATTGTAAGGATTAAATAATGTATGTGAAAAGCTTAGCACAGTGCCTTGCATGTAGGATGTACCCAACAAATGATAATTTGTATTGGTTGAAACTGAGGTTTCACTGCTATAAGGAAGACCCCAAATCACAAAGCTTTATTTTTTTAATGTAATTTATTCTCAAATTGGTTTCCATACAATATCCAGTGCTCATCCCAACAAGTGCCCTCCTCCATCCACATCACCCACTTTCCCCTCTCCCCCATCCCCTATCAACCGTCAGCTTGTTCTCAGTATTTGAGTCTCTTATGGTTTGCCTCCCTCCCTCTTTGTAATTTTCCCCCTCCCCCTCCCCCATGGTCTTCTGTTAAGTTTCTCAAGACCAAACACATGGTATCTGTCCTCTGCCTGACTTATTTCACTTAGCATAATACCCTCCAGTTCCATCCACATTGCTACAAATGACCAGATTTCATTCTTTCTCATTGCCAAGTAGCATTCCATTGTATATATAAACCACATCTTCCTTATCCATTCGTCAGTTGATGGACATTTAGGCTGTTTCCATGATTTGGCTATTGTTGAAAGTGCTGCTATAAACATTGGGGTACATGTGCCCCTATGCATCAGCACTCCTGTATCCCTTGAGTAAATTCCTAGCAGTGCTATGGCTGGGTCGTAGGGGAGTTCTATTGTTAATTTTTTTGAGAAACCTCCACACTGTTTTCCAGAGCAGCTGCCCCAGTTGGCATTCCCACCAACAGAGTAAGAGGGTGCCCATTTCTCCACATCCTTGCCAGCATCTATAATCTCTTGATTTTTCATTTTAGCCACTCTGACCAGCATGAGGTAGTATCTCAGTGTGGTTTTAATTTGAGTTTCCCTGATAATGAGTGATGTTGAGCATCATTTCATGTGTCTGTTGGACATCTGGATGTCTTCTTTGGAAAACTGTCTATTCATGTCTTCTGCCCATTTCCTCACTAGATTATTTGTTTTTCGAGTGTGGAGTTTGGTGAGTTCCTTATATATGTTGGCCTTTACCCGATATGTCAATTGCAACTATCTTTCCCTATTCCGTTGGTTGCCTATTAGTTTTGTTGATTGTTTCCTTTGTAGTGCAGAAGCTTTTTATCTTGATGAGGTCCCAAAAATTCACTTTTGCTTTTGATTCCCTTGCCTTTGGAGATGTGTCGAGTAAGAAATTGCTCAGCTGAGGTCAAGGAGGTTGTTTCCTGTTTTCTCCTCTAGGGTTTTGACAGTTTCCTGTCTCACACTCAGGTCCTACATCCATTTGAGTTTATTTTTGTGTATGGTGTAAGAAAGAGGTCTGTTTGATTCTTCTGCATGTTGCTGTCCAGTTCTCCCAGTACCGTATGTTAAAGAGGCTGTCTTTTTTTTCCATTAGATACTCTTTCCTGCTTTGTCCAAGATTAGTTGGTCATACATTTGTGGGTCCAGTTCTGGGTTCCCTATTCTACTCCATTGGTCTATGTGTCTGTTTTTGTGCCAAAACCATACTGTCTTGATGATTACAACCTTGTAGTAGAGGCTAAGGTCTGGGGTTGTGATGCCTCCCGTTTTGGTTTTCTTCTTCAATATTACTTGGCTATTCGGGGTCTTTTGTGGTTCCATACAAATTTCAGGATACTTTGTTTTAGCTTTGAGAAGAATGCTGGTGCAATTTTGATTGGGATTGCACTGAATGTGTAGATTGCTTTGGGTGGTATTGACATTTTAACAATATTTATTCTTCCAATCCATGAGCATGGAATGTTTTTCCATTTCTTTGTGTCTTCTTCAATTTCCTTCATAAGTTTTCTATAGTTTTCAGCATACAGATCTTTTACATCTTTGGTTAGGTTTATTCCTAGGTATTTTATGGTTTTGAGTGCAATCATGAATGGGATCGATGTCTTGATTTCTCTCTCTGTTGCTTCATTATTGGTGTATAAAAATGCAACTGATTTCTGCACGTTGATTTTGTACCCTGCGACTTTGCTGAATTCATGAATCAGTTCTAGTAGACTTTTGGTGGAGTCTGTCAGGTTTTCCATGTAGAGTATCATGTTGTCTGTGAAAAGTGAAAGTTTGACTTCTTTGCCAATTCTGATGCCTTTGATTTCCTTTTGTTTTCTAATTCTGATGCTAGGACTTCAAGCACAATGTTAAACAACAATGGTGAGAGTGGACATCCCTGTCGTATTCTTGATCTCAGGGGGAAAAGCTCTCAGTTTTTCCCCATTGAGTATATTAGCTGTGAGATTTTCCTAAATGGCTTTTATGATGTTTAAGTATGTTCCTTCTACCCGGACTTTCTTGAGGGTTTTTACTAAGAAAGGATGCTATATTTTGTCAAATGCTTTTTCTGCATCTATTGACAAGATCATATGGTTCTTATCTTTTCTTTTGTCAATGTGATGTATCCCATTGATTGATTTGAGAATATTGAACCAGCCCTGCAACCCAGGAATGAATCCCACTTGATCCTGGTGAATAATTCTTTTTATATGCTGTAGAATTCGATTTGCTAGTATCTTGTTGAGAATTTTTGCATCCATATTCATCAGGTATATTGGCCACTAGTTCTCTCTCTCTCTCTCTCTTTTTTTTTTTTTTCTGGATCAGTCTGGTTTGGGAATCAAAGTGATGCTGGCTTCATAAAATGAGTCCAGAAGTTTTTCTTCCATTTCCATTTTTTTGGAACAGCTTGAGAAGGATAGGTATTTAACTCTGTTTTAATGTCTGGTAGAACACCCCAGGGAAGCCATCTGGTCCAGGACTCTTATTTGTTGGGAGATTTTTGATAACTGACTCAATTTCTTCACTAGTTATGGGCTTGTTCAACTTTTCTATTTCTTCCCTTTTGAGTTTTGGTAGTGTGTGAGTGTTTAGGGATTTGTCCATATCTTCGAGGTTGTCCAGTTTGTTGGCATATAATTTTTTATAGTATTCCCTAGTAATTGCTTGTATTTCTGAGGGATTAGTTATAATAAATCAGTTTTCATTCGTGATTTTATCAATTTGGGTACTCTTTCTCTTCTTTTTGAGAAGCCTGGCTAGAAGTTTATCAATTTTGTTTACTTTTTCAAAAAAAAACCTCTTGATTTCATTGATCTATTCCACTGTTTTTTTTTGGATTCTGTGTTGTTTATTTCTGCCCTGATCCTTATTATTTCTCTTCTTCTGCTGGGTTTGGGGTGTCTTTGCTTCTCTGCTTCTAATTCCTTGAGGGGTGCTGTTAGGTTTTGTATTTGGGATTTTTATTGTTTCTTGAGATAGGCTTGGTTGCAATGTATTTTCCTCTTGTGACTGCCTTTGCTGCATCCCAAAGATTTTGGGTTGTTGTATTTTCATTTCCATTTGTTTCCATATATTTTTACATTTCTTCTCTAATTGCCTGGTTGACCCATTCGTTCTTTAGTAGGGTGTTCGTTAAGTCCCTCTGGTCCAATGTGTCATTCAAGGCCATTGTTTGTTTAGTGATTCTCTGTCTAGTTGATCTATCCATTGCTGTAAGTGGAGTACTAAAATCCCCTGCCATTAGCACATTCTTATCAATAAGATTGTATATGTTTGTGATTAATTGTTTTATATATTTGGGTGCTCCCAAATTCATTTTTTTTCTTTTTTCTTTTTTTTTTTAATATTTTTATTTATTTCTAGGAGAGAGAGAGACAGAGTGAACAGAGAAGGGTCAGAGAGAGAGGGACACACAGACTCTGAAACAGGCTCGAGGCTCTGAGCTGGCAGTCAGCACAGAGCCCGACGCGGGGCTCGAACCCACGAACCGCGAGATCATGACCCAAGCGAAAGTCGGACGCTTAACCGACTAAGCCACCCAGGCGCCCCAAGGGTGCTCCCAAATTCAGTGTGTAGACATTATAATTGTTATCTCTTCCTGATGGATAGACCCTGTAATTATTATATAATGCCCTTCTTCAGCTCTTGTTACAGTCTTTACTTTAAAGTCTAAATTGTCTGATATAAGTATGGCTACTCCAGTTTTCTTTTGACTTCCAGTAGCATGATAGCTAGTTCTCCATCTCCTCACTTTCAATCTGAAGGTGTCCTATGGTCTAAAATGAGTCTCTTGGGGCACCTGAGTGGCTCAGTTGGTTAAGCATCCAACTTTGACTCAGGTCATGATCTCACGGTTCATGGGTTCGAGCCCCGGGTCAGGCTCTGTGCTGACAGCTAGCTCAGAGCCTGGAGCCTGTCTTCGGATTCCGTGACTCCCTCTCTCTCTGACCCTCCCCTGCTCATGCTGTCTCTATCTCTCTCAAAAATAAACAAAACATTTACATACATACATACATACATACATACATAAAATGAGTCGCTTGTAGACAGCAAATA